TCGCTGTGTTAGAGGTGGGCTTTACTCTGGACCGGCTGCAAGTCCATCACAAGGACACATGGAGACAAATCACAGTCCATTCACGCTCTAAAAACAGCTAGCAACAATTTAGTCATTGAGTCATATAGAGGCAGCTGTGGATGAGTGGTTAGAGTAGTCATCTTCCAGTGGGAGAGTTGGGGGTTTGATTACACCAGCAGTCACATGTTGAAGTGTCCCTGGACAATACATTGAACCCCTCTCCGATGTGTGTCCCATCATTGTATGAATATGATAAAGTACTGATTAATCTTTGTAGAGATCTAGTATAGAGCTGTATGAATGAGTAAATGAGGACACAGATTGTTGTAAAGAGCTTTGAGTATCTTGATAAGATAGAAAAATACTAAGTACATTTACCATTAACAGTCCATTTAACCTAACATGCATGCTTTTTGTCTGCATGCGTGCCCATGCGTGCACTGGGAGAACATGTAAACGCCACACAGAAAGGCCTCAGGCTGAGAAGAGATCCTGGAACAGCTCGTACCACTTTGTCCATCTTAATATCGACAAACTAAATCTGTTTTTGTTGGTCTGTAAATAGAGATCCAGATGTTGGCATCGGAATAACAACACCACACCGTAAATACTGAGGGGGATAGTGGATTCATGACTTGTTTGCAAAAACACAACTTTAGATGTCATGAGTTAAATTCATTTTGGTCAGTCTTAGAAAAATGAGGAACAATTAAGTACTGAGTCTTGAGAAATGTACATGAACGACACGATTCCTCACACATGAGCGACTTTTGGACCAGTTGGACCCAGCGAGTACAAACTGTGCAACAATCAATAGAAAAAAATGCATAAATACAGTAAGCCCTGAAAATATATTTGAAAAAAAAAATCAAACCTAAAAGAAAACGAGGGAAGTGTTGGTGCAGAGGTTAGAGACTGTAGACCTGTGAATGGGAGGTCGCTGGTTCAACTCCTAGGACAAACAACATAAAAATGTGGGTGGAAAAGGTGAAACACCTACACCTGCCTCCATCCTCAGTTGCCCCACTCTGTGCCCTTGAGCAAGGCCCTCAACCCCCACCATCTGCTCCCCTGGGTGCCCTAGATAGCAGCTCTCTGCTCCACACAGAGGGTTGTGGTAGCTCGGCAGTCTGTGGTTGTGTCAGGAAGGACATCCGGCGTAGAAACAATCACCGAGTCCTCATGTGAATTAGTTCACTGTGGTGACCCCTGAAGAAGAAGCAGCATAAAAGAAAACACACAGTACCAATCCCAGACTACACAGTTAAACGTTGAATACCTTCATAACTAAAGAAGTGTCTGAATATCCAAATATCTAAATATAGTTCTTATCTGGAAAAGAAATAAAACATGACTGGTGTGATCAAATGCGAGACATTGTTTCTTCTAAGATTCTTTGTTTGTGGCTGTGACTGTGGGGGGAGTGGAGTGGGGGGTCAAAAAAATCCCATTCAGGAGAAGCTCCGACCTGGAACATTAAACCCACAGAACTGAAGAACATCTGTTCTCTCACACAGACTCATGTTCGTGCTGTTGTTTGGTGCATTGTTTTGTATTATTAGTGCTTAGTATATTCTTAGTTTAGCATATTTCTTAGTTCCTATAGATCTTATTACTGTTTTTCTTTACAATTTGTATTTTTGTTGGATGTATCTGGGACCCTGTGTACACAATTTCGTTCCACCACATGTACCACATGTGGTGCTAATGGCAATAAAGAAACCATGTCCTTCTCTAAAGCTAAACGCGGTTGTTAATTATTCAGTTATGCCACTGGTGTGTTTGTATTTTGTCTGTTTCGTACAGTGCTGTGAAAAGTATTTTCCTCTTTACAGATTTTGTCTGTTTTTTTGTTTGTTTTGTCACAAAGCTGGGCCCTATGGGAAAAGTACAGTGGTGCCTGAAAGTTTGTGAACCCTTTTAGAAGTTTCCATATTTCTGCATAAATATGACCTAAACATCATCAGAGTTTCACACGTCCTAAATGTAGAAAATCAGACGATTTTAGGCCATATTTATGTAGTTGTATAGAAAATTATCAAGGCTTCATAAACTTTCAAGCACCACTGTAATGAAGGACTTATCCAGGAGGGCCCAGAAGATCTCAGCATAACATTTAAAGTCCGGCAGGCTTGACTTGCCTCACTTAAGGTCAGAGTTCATGATTCAACAACAAAGAATGAGACAAAAATGGCCTCCACGGGAGAGTTACAAAAAGACCACATTTTTCAAAAATCATCTGGACGATCCCCCAAACTTCTGTGAAAACGTTCTGCGACTTGACAAGATCAAAGTGGAACTTTTTGAAAGGTGTGTGATTTGTGTAGCTGCTTCTTTACAGAAAACAACAGCTCTTTACTCAGGTTATCTTGGTCTGAACGTTTGTTTGATGATCTAAAATATTTAGGTGCATCAAAAATGCAAAAACAGATCACTCTGTAAGAGAACAAATACTTTTTCACAGTATATGTACGCCTTTTCCACTGCTCTTTTACCCAACATGTAATTCACTGTAAGCTCTTCGGTAACCGTTTCCGTTATAAATGTGCTATATAAATAAACCTGACTTGACTGTCTAAGACCATGTCGTTTTATCAGTCGTTAGCTTTTGTATTAAATGATTTTATGTTGTAATTTTTTGTGGTAACATTGACCTGCCACATAGTACATGTAAAAATGACCCTCCACAGCTGAATCTGGTACTTTTCTGTGATGTGCTGTAGACACGTTTCACTTGTGCATTGTCTTTTTTTTAGCTAAACATTAAAAAAAGCTTTACAATTTGTTTATATTGAAGTCATACAACCAAGAGAAGAGCAAACCAGTCGATTTCATGACATTCTCTGTCAGCCCAGTTCTCCCTCATTCTCACAGTTCACTTGCATCTCGCTCTTCCTCCTGCAAGGATTGTGCGATGTTGCCTCATGCACTTGAAAGACCTACAACTGCTGGGGGAGATACCAAGAGATTTAACACACACGCCTTCACACTTTCACATGCACACACATACACCCTTTTCAAGCTGATAGGCAACTTGTGCTGTCTGTTGACGGCTGGAGTTTGATATGATACTCAGCCTCGGGATCCATCTTAATAAATGAATGAAGAGCTTAAATTATGTGCTGGGTGGGGGTGGGGTTGTGTTTAATCTGCGCGTGTTAAGCATCCCCCTCATTGTGATTGCTTGGACAGACGGGTGGCTTCTAAAGAAAAACAGGGTTCTACCAAAAAGGTCAGGCGTCGATCAAAGCTAGATTTTGATGTGGGGCCGGTCAAAAGTGAGGGAGATGCTTCGGCCTCATGAGAGGGGCGGAGCTAAAGCTCAAAGTTGGAAGGTAAAGAGTGGCTTTATTCTGCATCTCCTACACATCATCTTCATCACCCTCATCTAAAAGGGGAAGGTGGACGATAATGTTTTTGTCCATGTTAGCATGTGTTTGGCATGTGTTGCCAAACGTCTCATGAACAAGTGGACAAGATTTACTTTTATTTATTTATTTTTGCAGAAAGTAATCATTGGATGGACCTCTAAATTTAATTGGAGTCAGCTCAATTCAATATGGCTGCCACAACCAACTTTTCTTAGGGAATACAAAAATAACTGGTCCCCAACACATACTGAACAGATTGTGCAAGATGTTTGTATTTTAACATTTTAACACTTACTGGGAAACAACTCCCAGTTTTCTGTTAGCAAAATATCTCATGAACCACTGGATGGATTTTTATAAAACCTTTAGAAGATAATCACTATATTCATCCATCCATCATCTTTACCCACTTCTTCCTTTTTGGGTCACTGGTGCCCATGTCCATCTGTCACTGTGCGAGAGGCGGGGGACACCCTGGACAGGTCTCCAGTCCATCACAGGAACAGAGACAAACAACCAGTCCCTCCCTCACTCACACCTAGGGACAATTTAGAGTTACCAATCAGTCTAACATGCATGTTTTTGGTCTGTGAGAGGAAACAGGCGTACCCGTAAAAAACCCACGCATGCACGGAGAGAACATGCAAACTCCACCCTGAAATGTCCCGAGCCAGGATTTGAACCGGGGAAACCCGCTCGCTGAGGCAGCAGCTGTGCCAACTGCGCCACCGTGCTGCCCGTAATCACGGGCGGCTGTGGCTGAGTGGTTAGAGCATGGTACTTTGTATAACTGTGCTGTTTCCAAGGTTTGACCGAAATGGCTCAGTCTGTAGTTTCTCAACAAAGGACGATGTACGGCTGAAACTGGCATGAAAAGCAGCGAGCGGCATGCATTCTTCAAGCAAAGCTAGGCCTTTAATTTTTGTGTTTGTCTGATGGTTTATCTAATTTCCTGCAGTTTCCTGATGGCAGTCGAACAAAACAAAGGCACATAAAACAAGAGAACAGTCCAAAGGCAAAGATGAGTGATGTAACGTTTATTTGGCTATAATTTACCTGATGAAGAATTTCCTGACATTTGACATCAAATATTAAAACGTCCTGAATCTCAGATACATCAAATTGATCAATTGAAAAACAGAGTTCCCAGGAAGTCATACCCAACATTTTATTGTTGTGCCCACAGGTGATTGTTTGTTCGCAAAAGTACAGTTGAGAGAGAGAAGTAGGGGAGGGGGGAAAAAGCCAGATGTTTGTTTGTCAAAGCAGGAAACAAAACCTGAGCGTGGATCACATCGACCGGAACGAACTCAGAGAGAAGTCACCAGCTAATGGAAAATATAACTCAGTAAAATGATGATTTTGAAGCCATGCAGGTAACATAATATTGCCGTCAAAGAACACTCGCACATGCTTTTCCAAAATCAAACATGCATTACTCAGCGGGGCAAAGAGGTGGAAACACTCAACTGTTCGGCAATACAGATTCTCTAAATGTTTCCAATAATGAATATTTCTAGGGCATGTTACACACTTTTTTTTTTTGTTCAGTTGATTGTTTGAAGAAAATGATAAATTAGTGTTAAATAAAAAATTAAATCAAAATATATATTTAGCATCCTCAAGGGGGCTGATGTGTCACAAAAAACAACAAGCAGATTTAATCATTTAAGAGAGCATTTTGTAAAGAATACATCGTTGCAAGCTCAAACCCGGTCATCACTAGGCTGTGAGAACAGTTCCAATCACAGTGATCACGGACAAGTTCAGCATCTCCTCAGGCCACCTCACTAAGGCTGGTTATCGTTTAGTCGCCCATTTGAACACTTCACTTTTTTCCCTCGATCTCTGGAAAAGTTCTCTTCTTTTCTTTGAACGTTGGCTTTTTTAAAAGAACTATCAGAATCATGCAACTACTGTTCCGTTTACGCCGAGACAAAAACCAGTTGGTGCTCTTGGACGTGATTCTCTTGGTTGTGTTTGGGAGGGCTGCAAGTTTTGAGGTCAGCGTGGGCTTTTTTTTTTCAGGCACTGCCATCCTGTTTGAGCCGCTGACTGCGAGCCTTGTAGACCTCGATCAGTAAATCTTTGACGTATTGGATTTCTCGCTCCACTGACTCCGCTTTGTCACGGAGCTCGCGGTTCTGCCCCTCGAGTCCGTGTAGCTCCTCCTCCAGAGAATCCAGCTCCGCCCTCTTACGCAGCCTGTACCTGCAATAGGGATGGAGGGGGTTTACTTACTCTTTATCATTTACATTTTTACAGATTTCTGCTGTCTTGCAACTTCACACAAGTCACAGATGCTGACCTTTAACCTCTAATTTCTAAATTCAATTCACTTCAATTCAGTTCATTTATATAGCGCCAAATCACAACAACGTTGTCTCAGGGCACTTTACAGGAACATTCACAAACGTAAAAGCCAATTAGTAAAGTTCTCTATCTAAGGCATCTAAGGAAAATTGTTTTCATTACAAGTATATCCTGAGGCCAGCCCAACCAAACCAAAAGTTAGACGTAGGGCTGAACTTGGCAGACAGGGAGGGACTTTCCATTTCCCTTCTAGACTCTGTTGTGGCAACATGAGTTAATGTTTTAAATAAAACAGTGAAGTTTATAACCAGTGCAATAAGTGGGAACCAGATCACCTGCTTCTTCTCCAGTGCCCTTAACTTTTTGTTTTGACGAATTTATGGACCCACCGTCACCTCAGCGTGTTTAGAAAGCATGCTTTACAGAGGAACAGAAGAAGCCGTTTACCTGTGGGCAGCAGTTTTGTTCTGGTCCCTTTTTTTCTGCTTCCTCTCTCCACTGCAGGAATCCAGAGAAGCTGCACCCATCACCAGGGTCTGCTTGACGGAGCATGGCTCATCCTTTAACCTCTGGGTGGGGCGGTGAATAGGGGGACCCATCAACGACCCCTCACCCTCTCTGGACAGACATTCATAGCTTTGGTCTGCAAGGCATTCTGGATAGAGGTAGTGGCCATGTTGGGGCTCCACAGGCTGTGCTTGTGCTGGCTGATCTAGGTCTCCTATAAAGCTATGGTAAGGCTCTGTGACACCCATAGACTGGTGGAAGTAGCCATCACCGGCTACCATTGTCTCTTGGGGAATACTTCCAGACAGTCCTCCATCCTTGCTGCAGTGCAGGACCTCGAGCCCTGCACTGTCGTAACTTACATTGACCTTCACATTGTGCATTAGCTGTCCCTCCCTCTTGTGGTGGTTGTCGTACGAGCCACCCAGACAAAAACCTCGGGCAATCTCTTCGCTGCAAAACATTCCTTCTGAGAAACAGTAACTCTCCTCTTCCTTCAACGATAAAGCACATTCTCTCACCTTCTTTACGCTGCCGACGCTGTTCTTGCTCACTGTCTTCAGTGTCGAGTAGTGGTTCACCGACAACTCCGTGCTCCCTGAGTAACAGCCCCTGGAGCCCCACGTTTCAAGTCCAACTTCGTCCCCGACTTTCACAGACTCACCAAGGAGCCGTCGACTGTTGTTGTGGTGGTAGCGGTGATGATAGCTGTATGGTGCGGGCCGTGCAATTTTGGTTCTGTTGATGGGACCACCGCAAAAACTGGCCAGGTCCAGTTCCCCTGTTGCCAAGGTAACTACCAAAGGGCTGCTTTCTGATTGGCTGGTCCCATATGAGCCATAGGGTAACTGATAATAAGACTGGGAGCCCATGGCTTGGGCAACCTTGTCACATTTTGAAGATTTCTCCAACTTGTTTGTGGTGGATGTGGACTCGGAGCGGAAGTAGTCCTCCAGCTGAGCCAGCTCCTCCTGCAGCAGAGAGGTCATAACCTCCAGATCCGAGGGCACCTTGACATCCTGTTCTAACGGTGAGGGTGGATGAGATGAGCAGGGAGAAGACTCGGTCGTTGACACAAATGAAGACAAATCAACTTTTTCCGTCATCCAATCAGAGTGACCATCACCTAAAAGTAAAAAATATATATATATATGCAAATCATGAAAAAAAATCAATTACCAATCAAATTTTCTTTTAAATGTTTGAATAATATGTTTTAAATAAAAATGACAAAATCAGAGAAAAATCTAAAGCATTGTTGATTAAAGACAAGCTTAAATAAAAAAAGCAAGCAATACGTCCGAAAAGATCCAAGTGAACAACTAACCGATCATCTGAAAATGATTGAACAGCATCGTCTGCGTTCGATAAATATCCACTTAGCTGTACTCACTGTACGACATTAGCCCCGTGCTGCACTGCGGCTCCAACCTCGAGATGTGCAAAAATAAAAAAGACTCTTGGTACAACTCACCAATTAAGTGCTGCCTCTCTGCTGACCCCGCCCCCGCGCCGGGCCGTGATTGGCTGCGGCTAGCCCGTGGGGAAGGGGGAGCGCTGAGCTCGCCTGTGGAAACGAGAGGAATTTTCCTGCGAAGGATCGATGCCGCCATCGTGTCGCCTGCTCCGATTAAATTGTCCTAACGCACAAATTGTGCACCGGCTGAATGCAAGAGGTGCACGAACACTCGAATACCTGTGAAAAATGAACAAACAAAAACAAATGTCACAATGTTTAAACTTTAAATTTCTGCTTGTATAGCAAATAAAAAACATAAAGGGCATAACATAAAATGTAATAAGAAATTGGTACAAAAAGGTTAATTTTAAGAGTTAATTTATTTAAATGTCCTCTCTTAATTAAATAAATGTACTATTCACCTGTCAGGTCAAACTCTCATTGTTTTATTTCACTTTTTTAACTTTAATCCTGTAAAAATAGACTAAATATCCTGAAACACACAATAAAACATGAACAAAAACAAAACTATATAACGTTTTGTATTTATAATATATTAATTATAAGTATAACAACTTTTGAAAACACAAAACAGATTGTAGTTTTACAAATGTAAGTGGTAGGAAAAACATCAAATGCAATTACAATTTTTAGGCTTAAAAAAGAGAAAGTAATTAACAGAAATCAAATTACTTTCAAGTTTTTTGCTTGTATTTTAAAACACATTATTATTATTATTAATAATAATAATAATAGCAATAACAACAACAATGATAATAATAATAATAATCATAATAAATACTTTTAAAAAGTACAAGTTGACCAAATTGAGCATAGTAAGTTTGAAGTTGAAACATATTCCTCCGCAGCGCCTACTCACCCCATAGTTCCGTAAAGTCAGCAGCAGACAAACACTCGAAGCTTTATGCCGCAGAGGAAGACAGTCTCTGTCTAAAGAGCCATTTTTGTCAGGCTTTAGGAATTGAAGAAGTCTTTGTGCGGCGCTTTAACGACAGACACTTGACAGCAGAAAGTTTTTAAATCCGCTACTTCTCTAACTCCTACCGCCCGGACCTTATCACCGAGGTGCTGATCACTGCGCCGCTCCCAAAGTTCTCCGTTACGTCATCACCTGCGGGGCTGCGGGGGAAAACCCACAGAAAGGAACCCACGTCCGCTCTGTGCGACAGCTGCTGTCCGGCATTTGATTCACTTCATGCTGTTTCCATCCCGTGCTGTTTAAATAAAAAGTTAATTGTTGTTTTTGCTTGTCGCAAGGTAACAAATAAACCAACTGTATAAAACTCGCCCGTAAAGTTCCCAAACCGTCATTTTAACTCATCTGTATAAACTCGGAGGAGTAAAAATGTTTGTTTAGCTGATTTATAAAACCTAAAACACAATCTGTAACCTGCGGAGCAGGCTGTAAACTCGGGACTAGTTTCAGAGAGGCTGCAGCGGAGGGACACGGTGTTGCAGTTCGAGGGGGTAAGTTTAGTTGCAGCCCTGTTGCATCAGACCCGCCGGGGATTCGCTGAACGCGCGAACAATGAGGCCGCGCCATTGGTGCATCATGGGAACTTTTCTGTTTCTATTGGCTGACCGTCACTCACACTGATTGGTAATCATTAGGCATTAACACCGACCTCAGACCAGCAGGGTGGGGGTCAGTTCTAATCATGAGAAAGTTGTGGGGGCCTGAACAAAATCAGCCACAAGTTATTAACTCTTCAAATCACTGGCTTTATGTTTTTACTCTGAACACACTATGAACCGAAATTATGAATAATGTACACACAAAATAAACATTTATATATAATATATACATGTACTTGTATATAATAATAATAATGCACACAAAAAATAAACATTTATATATAATATATACATGTACTTGTATATAATAATAATAATAATAATAATAATAATAATAATGCACACACAAAATAAACGTTATAAGTAAAAAAGGAATTTGTGGATTTAATTTACTGGTATTGTCATCCTTCATGATTAAAATACTTTGCATGTGGCCCTTGTAAATGTGTCAGAATTTAATGTTACATAAATAAAAAACAACACATACTGAGTATGCTGAGGGAAAAACTGTAGTTTTTTTTATAGCTACACTTCAGCTTTGATTGTTTTTATTTGTTTATTGTTTGGTTTTTTCGCTCGTATGTGCATTTACGTGTTATTTTATCTGTATTGTTAGCAAAATATCCAGTGAATCACTTAAGTGATTTAAATGAAATTTGACAATAAAATCTACAACTGATGAACTCTTGGACTCATCCCAGGGAAAGATGGCCACCACAGCTGCATGACAATAATTCAACCAGATGTATGTGAATTTGGTGTTTTGGTAGCTGTGAAAGATTCCCAACACATTCTGTTTGCTAACAGGTGCCATTACATTGTTCATTCATTCAACCTTTATTTAGACAGGTTAATCCCATTGCACCTCGAGGACTCATTTACAAGAGACAGCAAAATGTTCAAAATGTTCCCAACAAATATTTGGAGTCCAGTTTATCTGTTAGCAAAAAAAAAAACTGTCATAAACATTTTAATGAACATTTCAGAAAATAAAGGATCTTAATTTACAATTGACTAAAAAGGTTTTAGACTCAATCATCCAGGTAGATAACAAGAAAAAAGGTTAAATCATGTCATCTGGACAAGTTTCTTTAAGGGACAAACTTTCCGTCCCCCATCCAGAGGACTTCCTCAGTCTACAGCTTGCCAACCAGATCTGTCTCGGCAGGGGTGGAAATAATGAATTACAAATACTCACGTTTCAGTAGTTAAGTAATTTTTGGGGGGAGTTGTATTTTTATGCGTATTTCTTTCATCCATCCATAGATCCATCCATTATCTTTTACCCACTTCTTCCTTTTTGGGTCACGGGGGGCGCCGGTGCCCATGTCCAGCATTCACTGTGCGAGGGGCGGGGTACACCCTGGACAGGTCTCTAGTCCATCACAGGGACACCCTGGAAAGGTCTCCAGTCCATAGCAGGGACGCATAGAGTCAAACAAGAAAAACAACCATTCACTCTCTCACTCATACCTAGTGACAATTTAGAGTGACCAATCAGCCTAACATGCATGTTTTTGGTCTGTGGGAGGAAACTGGAGTACCCGGAGAAAACCCACGCATGCATGGAGAGAACATGCAAACTCCACCCAGAAGGGGCCCTGGTCCGGGATTTGAACCAGGGACCTGCTCGCTGAGAGGCAGCAGCTCTACCAGTTGCGTCACCATGCTGCCCGTATTTCTTTCAAGCGTGTAATTTTACTCATACTTAATTTACAATTAGACCATGTGACTTAGCTACTTTTAAAATCAGAAGTCGCTACTGAGTACAGCTGCAATTTGAATTAATATTCAAACCGTTCATCTGCATCTTTGTAGCCAATAAGGCTCTCAAACGCACCAACTACCTATGACGTAAGCAAAGGACAACTCCGTAGAAAAGAGTCATTTATGGGCCAAAGGTTTGGGGAAAAAGCCAAAATGGAGACAGAGGGCAACACTGTCAACAGAGAAAATGACGAGATAAAGGCTGAGGACGAGTGCCCGTGGCCGTACCTGGAGGAATTTTTCATATACAGAGGTTGAAAAGGAGACAGCGTCCAGATGCAAACTTTGTTTGATCTCTACGGTGACAGCAGCTTACAAGACTTCAGCATCTAATCTCAGATAACATATTGCAGTGTATGAGGTTTTACAACTACCTGCATGATATTGTTTTTTTATTGTTTGTATGTGTGGGTTATTAATTTGGCTAAATATGCAAAGATCTTAGATATTGTCACTGCCATTTGTCACGTCTAGACTGGACTATTGCAATGGTTTATTATCTGGATGTCCAAATACGTCTTTAAAACATCTTCAGTTGATCCAAAATGCTGCTGCCAGAGTCTTAACCGGAGTTAGTAGGAGAGATCATATTTCTCCAGTTTTAGCTTCTCTCCATTGGCTCCCTGTCAAATCCAGAATAGAATTCAAAATCATACTTCTAACCTACAAAGCTCTCAACAACCTGGCTCCATCTTATATTACAGATCTTATGGTTCCATCCATGTTTTCCTAACAGAGCACTTTGCTCTCAGACTGCAGGTTTACTTGTGGTTCCTAGAGTTTCCAAAGGCAGAATGGGAGGCAGATCCTTCAGTTATCAGGCTCCTCTCTTGTGGAACCAACTTCCAATCTCTGTCCGTGAGGCTGACACATTATCCAGATTTAAAACTAGGCTTAATACTTTCCTTTTTGATAAATCCTATAGTTAGGGTCGGCTTGAGTTTCCTGAGCTGTCCCTTAGTTATGCTGCTATAAGCTTAGACTGCTGGAGGACAAACTGACCACGATTTTCACTCTGCTACTGTCTCTACTTACTCTGCTCATCCTGTTTTGTATTTGTAATTATTTTTTCTATCCTTAACATGTGGGGTTTTTTTTTGTCTTTCAGATACACCTGGACCTACATCTGGATTTACCATTCTGTGTTCGTCTGTCTCTCCTTCCTGTCCCCTCAACCAGCCGGTCAAAGCAGATGGCCGCTTGTCCTGAGCCTGGTTCTGCTGGAGGTTTCTTCCTTTTAAAAGCGAGTTTTTCTTTCCACTGTTGCCACTGTGCTTGCTCAGGATGGGAGACTGCAACGAAGATTTGGCACTATATAAATAAACTGAATTGAATTGAATTGTTATAACACCAGTAATTTTACTTGTAACTGGGTACAATTTATGCAGTGTAACGGTACTTGTACTTGAGTACAAATTTTCAGTACTCTTTCCACCTCTGCCCATAAGTAGCCTTCACTGCTGTGTTTCAAGCCAACCTCCTGTTGGAACCTCAAAAGCAGGCTTTTAACACATGCAAACAGGGCCCACCCATCCAAAACAATCAGTCATCATGTTCAACAATCAAATGTTTTAGGCCAGGTGGCCAACGTGGTGCTCACAGAAACAGTCTGAGGACACCAAGGACAAAGTGGTTCAGTAAAAAAGTTTTAGGCTCAATCATCCAACAACAAAAAAGGTTAAATTGTGTCATCTTGACCAGTACAATTGATTCACTTTTGAACTCAGTCTTATCAAAGACAGCTGACCTTAGAAACACAAAAACCAGAGCAAGCCAATTTTTACAAATACTGAGCTAATATTTGGTGTAGTGCTAATATTTGACTCCAAGCAC